GGGGGGGGGGGGGGAGGGAGGGGGCAACCTCATCTAAGAATCAAGTAAATATAGTAAATAAGAGACACTTGGCAAAAGCACACTAAATACATGCACTGATACTATTAAAGTGTTTAGATTACTGAAATACTGTCTAAAATGTAACTCATTAAAATCTGTAAAACCTTCAGATGTGGAGAAAAGCTATCCTGCGATTTATCATTTGTTCTTTAAGCTCTTAATGTTCTCAGCCAAATCCAGTTGTAGTTTTGCGCGGGCAAAAAAATCTACTGGCTTTTGCCAAGAACAAACTTCTTTACAGGCAAGATTTAGAATACTAGATGTTTTTAACGTAACTGCATAGCTTCAACCTTAAAAACATGAAATAGGATAGAAAAGTTGAAACTATGCATCAATTTGCTTACTTGAAGATGTCGCCAACACCAGCTTTAAAGTAATGACTCATAACATTTCGCACATTTTGATCAACTTTCATTTCTTTTCCATAATAAAGACTGTAATGCCAGTTATTTAATGCCATTACTACAACTATAAATTCAAAGAACAATTGCATTTTTTGTAGTGGCTAATGTTCTTCAGCTAAGATATGTTGAAGAACGCAGTAAATGTAGAGAGACTTACTGTTGGGATAAATGGTTCATCTGAAGCACAATGATAATTCTGCAACAGTGCTTGTAACTGTAGGGAATTCAACTTAAAGCAGGTACTGTTAATATGTGGAATGTCATCATGTGAGTACTTATCCATGGTAAGCAGTGTAGTAGCCTGAAAAAGGAATAGGGAAATTAAATTGTAATTTGAGAAGGGAATGGAAATTTAGCCCTTACATATTTCATAATTTATCTCGATCAACAGAGAAGTGAGAGAAAGTCATGCAGCAAGTAGCAGAATTGTTGTTAAAGAGTAATGGCTGCTTGCAGATGTTAAAGCCCCCTCCCCCCCCGAAAAACACCCCCCATGCTTTACCAGAAGCAGCAGCACGCTACTTTGACCTCGCTCTGCAGCATCTGCATAGATTGGGCACTTCAGGAGGGCTTTTTGACACTTTTACCTATAGTGGAGTCAATCAGCTATTAGATAAAAGCACCAAAAGCCCCCCACTAAAGCACCTGATCTATAAAAGCATTGGGCAAGCTGGGTCCAACTAAAATGCTGCCTCTTCTGGGAATGCACTGGGAGCATATAGAACTTAAAGTACCAGTTTTTATTATTTTTTTAATGTCTGCAAGCAGCTAATATGGTTATCAAGACCAATACAATGGCTCAATATGGGTATCAAAGGAATACTATGCAAGGAAGACTTAATTTTTCAACTACTTGTCTATACGTTCAACGAAGCTATACTTGACATTTTAGGCAGAAACGGAGTTCTCTCTTGGCAAAAGCACATCAAGATATTATCATCTTTTTCAATAACTGGTGCATTAATAGATCAGAAAGTTTTATCTCTATATACTGATCCAGTGTTTCAGAACAGATTTGCATTATTATAGTGCCAATGTGCTGTGTTACGGTGGGGGGCCTAACTAGGAGTATGTGTCTCAGAGGCAAGCATCAGAATGCTTACCTGCACTATCCTGCTTAGGTGACAATCAGCAGCCAGTTCTAGGCCCTGCTTTTCTGCCCAGGCCTCAATATGGCCCAACTGCTGGCGAATGATGGCTCCCCAGTAATGTGAGCACAATCCTGAATCTGGATCAGTAACAAGTCTATTAAAAAGCCACATGTTGATAAAATGAAACAGCTGGGAGAAGAGCTGTATAGTTAGCGCAGCATTCACTCTACATCGTCGCAACAGGGACATAGCTCCAGTTAACGTATGTAAGACATCATCTACAGAGACAAAGCACAAAATGAATTACATTTACATAATGAAGTATGCAATTAGTGTTCATGCTTTAAACAACTGTAGGCTGAGACATCTAACCTGATTTAACTGATATTAGAGTACTACTGTGTGAATCGTGAAAGTCCTAGTACTGTTCATGTTTATTCTGCAGAACGAACCAGTGAGCAGGCATCATGCCTTAGGGTTCAGGACCAGTTTAATAACCAAAAGCTTCATTTAAATAGGATATTGTAAAGTAAAAAATTGAATCTATATACAAAAGTTGCAGCATGCAGGTTTACTAACCAATTAACTATACTTTGGAGATACAGATCAAGTTTCCCCTTTGTATACATGGATTTTCTGTTCTAAAATTTTGATTCATACAAAATTAAGAATCCTTAAGTTAGAGACCCATGACATACCTTATACTTCAAATTATCCATACTATTGGTAAGTAGTAAGCATACTAGCAGAAAAAAGACAGTTCAATGATTTGATTCCCTCCTTCTCACAGAACATAATCAAAGACAACAGGATATTATACTGATATTATTTATCAATGTATAAACCTGTTATAAACTGCTTTATACATCCATATTATTATCCCTTTTTACCAACTACTTTTCTGCAACTCTGCATAATAGACACTCTGCACTCCCCTTCTGCTAATTAATTTAAGCAGATAACCAAAATAATTCTCCTTGGAAACTGCTTTATAGGTAAGTTTAATATTTGTAGAACACAACTGCAGAGGAAAAAAACACTGTCACTGATGCTCAAGCCTTATTTGATAACTTAAAGGCATTACTATAAATTTTCATTTAACAAATAAGTAACGTTACTTGCATCTTCACTTGGAAAATTGTGTTGTATTTTCAAGTAGCTAAAAAGGTAACTATAAATGTGCCATCATCACTAGAGACGATTGTGTATGGATGACTGCTTAGTGCAGGCTTATTGTTACCTACTAAATTTTGCACGAATTTGAATCTCACAAACTAAGCTTGTCAGTTGAGATCACATTATATTTTTAATAAAATCAGCACTATTGTTTGCATATAATACTGAAAAGACAATGACTTTTTTGCATATAATGTTAGGATAACTTGTCAGCTAAAGGTTATAAAAAAGATTAAAGTGGAACAGCTTTTAAATATATAAAAAAAGATGGCTTTCACACTGGAACAAGTTTTTATATTTATTAAACAGAACCCTTTCCTTAGGTCCTCATTTTTCTTCATATTTACTGTTCTGTAAAAGATGTCCTTTTTTAATTAATAGCTTTCTCCTGCATAGCCCATTTTCATTTTTCTGCTATATCCAACAATTTGATCATAATGCTACATTTCTCCCTAATCAGAGTGTCCTGCTGGGGCCTGGCCACGCCCCCCTCAGCTCAGCTATGCCCAAAGGAAAGGACGGTTGCTTTAGTATGCCCTGGCTTTTAGCCTGAGCCACTGCAGGCATGTGTCTGCATTTCTGGGATGTCTGTCTGGTTACAAAACTGATTTAGCCTAGCCAGGTTAGACTAACCTGCAAAGACTGATCAATTCAAGCTGAGGCTTTTTGAATATCTGTCCCTAGCCAGAAAGATATAACAAATTTATAGTAACTTCTATATCCGTTCTTCCCAAGTCATTAGGTTTATGCAAGTTTCTCTCTATTTTAAAAGAATATTTTCCTTCTATTTTAAAGCCTACTCTAATATCTAAATAGAGTATATTCACACACAACTCTTAGGCATTAGTGACAGTAACTAAATCTTACATCAACAACAAACAAAGACATTTAATTAATCCATTACAAGGTGTACACAGCCTGATTTAGTGGAAAGAAAAAAAGGATTCTAACCTATTTTAGGCCTTTGAGGATTATTTTCGTCATCAAGGAACGCAGGCATGTAGTTGTTAAGCTCTGACTGAAGACAGTGAACCAGGTATCTGAAAACATCCACAATTTTGCAATTCCGTAAATGTTAACCATATGTATTATTCTGTACACTTTCAAAGTCTAAAAGATCCTGATACACAATTATAGGATTCCTAAAATCACAAAACTTAAGCTTACAGCTATACCAGAAACAAATCACATTTTTTTTTTTTTTAAAGGATTCAGTCTGACCAATAATCCTACATCTTTTCTAGAAACCTTGCAAAAAAAGGAATCAGCTCAGCAAGCACGTAGAAAATGCGTTGGTCATCTAAAAACGAAACTTTTACAGTCACATATGTAATATAGTGAATTAGGAGCCTAAAGAAAGGTTTCTGAGTCTTAAATGACCTTTTAAGACCTATAAAAAACACTGAGAAAAAAAAGGAGAGACTGAAATAACAACCCGGAACTTGAAACAGTTAGGTTAACTTCATGGAACATAACAGGAGCTATATGGAATTATTTAAAAATCAAATAAACAGAAATTAGGGTTGAATCTCTCAATGCCTTCATTTTACAATAATGGAAAAGTAAAGTCTACAGTATTACGGCACTGCTATCTTAAAATAACAACCCAATTAAAATAGATGAGTGCATCGTACAACAATCAAGCTCCCGAACCATTTATTGGTGGAAAAGGAATCAATGGTTAGGGTTATAATAAGGGACCTAACTAAATCAGAGTGAAAGTTTGAAGCACAGCAACCCCTTTAATTTCACTCTTTTCACCCCACCCCTCACCCCCACCCTCCTGTTTACACCCCTGCTGCTAAGTGGCCAAAAGGCAAAAACTACAGCATAACGGCCACTCAGCAGGCAGGGGGGAAGAAGGGGGTAAAAGGGCGAGATTAAAGGTACCAATGCACCACAAACTTCCAACAGGATTTAGGTAGGTTCTTAGTTATAATGAAACCGTAATATAGTGTAATCTTGGGGTAAGGATGCACACTTCTTTCCTAGTTTTGAAAACCCAGTCTATTCCTAAACAAAGAAACTGCATGGACCTGCCTAGCTTTGAATATGTTATTAATGTTGACAGAAAACGGAGGTTTGTACAGTTAAGGAGGAAAATTTTTCCCCTGTCCAAAAGGCGTATCTTTGCATCTTCCACTTATGCCAATTACACAGTAG